AGGAGGAGGAGGAGGAGGAGGAGGGCCTCTCCATCCTCCCTTCCCTTTCGTCTTGCATATTGTAGCGGTGGTGGAAAATTGGCCCATCAAGATTGGCGCCGGCGGCGGTGGCATGCTCCACCGCCAGGGGCGCGCGCGGGCGCACGCGCCGAATCGCGAGCCCGCGCGGCGGCTTGTCGCCGCCCGCCCGGGCTGCCCGAGCCGGCGAAGGCCGCAACGCTCGCGGAGGGCAGAGGAGCGGAGGGGGGGCAGGAGCGGGGGAGGCAAGCGGAGAAGCGGGGGAGGGTGCGGGCAAGCGGGGGAGGAGGGGAGGGGGCGGAGGGAGGGGGCAGGAGCGGGGGAGGCAAGCGGAGGAGGAAGGGGGAGGAGGGGGCGGGGGAGGGGGAGGGGCAAGCGGAGGAGGAAGGGGAGGAGGCGGGGCAAGCGGAGGAGGAGGGGGCGGGGGAGGGGGCAGGCGGAGCAGGGGAGGAGGCGGAGGACCCAACGCACAGAAGGAGCCCCACAAGGTCAGACCTCGAGCACCAACGATCGCCCTCATCATGAGTGTACCCTTTCATCGCCCTAATGAGAGCGACAGGGCGAAGGCGTGGCATCGGCAGGTACTGGAATGGTATGGTACTTGTGCGAGTTGTACACTCTAGTCAGCACGCAAACGAATCGCAAATAATCCCAAGCAGTGATGAGGGGGGAGGAGGAACTCCCCGAAGAAAAGCTACGGCACAAGGGCAGTTACCCGAAGGAAGACTGTAGCCTCGAGAAGGGCCGCCGCCACAATGAGAGCTGCAGCTACGAGGAGAGCCACAGCCCGAAAGAGAGCTACAGGCTACAGCGTGCTGGAGAGCACCTGCCACAGCCAGGGCTGCAACCTGAAGGACAATGACAGCCACAACCAACGCAACAGCTGCGAGGAGAGCTACACGGGGGCAGCTACACCCAGGAGTGACAGAGCCAAGAGAACAAGTACACCCTGAGGTAGCATTTACCAGAAGGAGGCGAGCTACACCCTCAAAGTGGACGACAAGCAAGAGGACAGCTACAACCCGCTGGAGAGCTACAGCCTATCCCCGACCTGAAAGAGGGCAACAGCCAGAAGGCGAGGTACAACCTGAATTCGCCGGCCCAACGGGCCAGAGGCGTGCTAAGATCTCCGGTAACTGGTTAACAATTCTCTAGTTCGCGCGCGTGGGGCGGCCCCAGGGGGTCCCCGGACGAAAAGTACCCCGGGCGACTCCCGGCTGATCCCCGGGCGGCTCCACCAGAGCGCCCCATGAGCGCACCAACAGGGCTCCGAGACGTCCCCGAGAGCCCCAAGAAAGGCCAAGAGGCCCCCAAGAGGCCCCCAAGATGGTACACGAGGGGTCCGACATGCCACAAGATCGCTCCAAGACGCCCAAGATAGCCCCCAGACGCCCCAAGAGGCCTCCAAGAGCACTCCCAAGAGGGCCCCCGGAGGCAAAATTCATTGTTTTTCCTTAGGTTTTTGAGAGATTTTGGAGCTTCCACCTTTTCGGCTTCCCGACGCCCCAAGACGGCCCCAGAGGCCCCCAAGATCGCCCCAAGAGGGCCCAAGAGGCCCCCAAGAGGGCCCCAAGATGGCCCAAGAGGGCTCGAAGACGGCCCAAGAAGCCTCCAAGACGGTCCAAGAGGGCCCCAAGAACGCCCCCAAAGGGGCCCCAGAGAGGGAACACGAAACAACATTTCGAGCCCTCGGCCCTAAGAAGCCCCTACGAGGCCCCAAGAGGCCCCTAAGATGCCCCAAGAGGCCCCCACGAGGCCCTCAGGAGGCCCCCAAGAGTCCCCCAAGCGGCCCCAGGAGGCCCCCCAAATGCCCCCCCGAGCGCCCCAGGAGTCCCCCAAGCGGCCCCAGGAACCCCCAAAGCGCCGCATTGACACCAGGCCCTCGGGCAAACGGCAGACATGAGACTGTATGGGCCGGCGGAATGAGCGAAGCGATTAAATAACTACAGCAACGTAGACCCCTTGGAGGAGAGCTACAAGAGCTACAACTACGAGGACAGCTACATTATGAAGGAGAGCTACAGCCAAACAGAGGCGAGCTGGACACTGGAGGATGACTACATCTGCAGAGACATTTACACCCAGAAAGAGAGCTATGGCCATGAGGACAGCTAAGCCCGGACAAGTCTACATGTATATTAATACCTATACGACCACCCTTCGGGTGATAAGGAGGTTCGGGGGGGGAGGAACCAACGTCTCACTCGATGGGTCTCACTATCGATATCACTATCGATCTCGCTCGATCGATATCACTCGATCGATCTCACAATCGATCTCACTCGATCTGTTTCATTCAATCGATATCACAATCGATCTGACTATCGATCTCACAGTCGATCTCACTATCGATACCACAATCGATCTCACATTCGGTCTCACTATCGATCTCAATATCGATATCATAATCGATCTCACAATCAACGTCATCATCATCAATATCATCGTCATCAACGTCATCAACATCATCATCATTATCATCATCATCATCATCATCAGGACACCATCATCATCATCACTAACATCATCATATCCTCGTCACCATCATCAACATCATCAGCATGACCACCATCATCATCATCATCATCAGCATCATCATCATCATCATCGTGACGCCATCATCGTCACCATCATCATCATCATCAACATCATCACCATCGGAACACCATCATCATCATCATCATCACCTCATTACCATCATCAACATCAGCAGCATCACCATTATCATCATCGGGACACTATCATCATCAACATCATCATCATCATCGGGACACCATCATCATCAGCATCGTAACACCACCATCATCACCTCACCATCATCATGAACAACATCATCAACATCATCATCGGGACACCATCATCATCATCATCATCAGCAATATCATCAACATCAACAGCATCATCATCGGGACACCATCATCATGGTCACCATCATCATCACCATCATCATCATCATCGGGACACCATCATCATCAACATCTGCAGCATCATCGGGACACCATCATCAAAATCAGCATCATCACCTCATCATCCTCATCATCAACATCATCATCATGGGGACACGATCATCGTCATCATCATCATCATCATTATCATCATCATCATCATCATCATCATCGGAACACCATCATCATCACCATCATCATCATCAATAGCATCATCATCGACCTCACTATCACCATCATCATCGGGACACCATCATCATCATCAACATCATCATCATCATCATCATCATCATCATCTCATCTCATCATCATCATCATCAAGATCATCAACGTCATCAGCATCATCATCGGGACACCATCATCATCAGCAACATCCGCATCATCATCGGGCCATCATCATCATCACCACGATGGCCATCATGATCACCATCACCATCATCACCATCATCACCATCATCATCATCATCATCATCATCATCATCATCATCATCATCGGGACACCATCATCATCACCACCATCACCATCATCATCATCAACATCATCGACACCATCATCATCATCATCATCATCCTCATCCTCCTCATCATCATCATCATCATCATCATCATCAGCATCAGCATCAGCATCAGCATCATCATCATCATCATCATCATCATCATCATCATCATCATCATCATCATCATCATCATCATCATCATCGGGACACTGGCGGGACACCAGCGGGACACCGCGCGGCACCGGCCCCCGGAGAGGAAACATTTGGTCCGGCCGCGCCTCAGCCGGAAGCGGGGCGCGCCTCAGCCGGAAGCGGGACACCAAGGGGACACCGCGCGGCATCGGCCCCAGGCGAGGAATCATTTGGTCCGGCCGCGCCTCAGCCGGAGGAGACTTTCTTCTCGCCCGCCCACGCAGCTTCGCCTCGCCCGCACGCACGGCACGCACGAACACGAAACCGAAACCGATTTTCCGGTAGGGGGGCTCTCCGTTCTACTTCGATCTCACCCCCTCACCTCCGATATACACACCTTGAGATTTATGTACACACTAGAACCACACGCGCGCTTCGGTTCTAATCGTTCCAATGCTGATCAGACTGAGAACAAGAAACCGGTCATGAACAATGTGGTCGACATCAATCGCCAAGCTATGCGCAGGGAAAAATCCAGCGCTGCAGCGCAATGTTGCACTACGCGGTAGAATGCCACGATATTTCATGCTACGCTATGAAGCGCAACGCCACTATGTACTACGCAATGCAAGACAATTTGTTTTGCGTAGGCGGGTGGGTGCGACTAAAAACTTCAATTGCGCAGCGCATCATGAGGGTGAATAGAATACACAAAGACGCAGTGAGCGGCACAAGCACTTGAAGCATTAGCATTCAAGCGCTAGATATGCAACGAAGCGTGCCGCGGAAGAGACGTAATCACGCCCGTCATCTTCAAGATCAGGGAGACTCGCTTTGCTCGCGCACGCGAGGACTACCTACCAGCCTTCGTCTTCAATGGGCGAGCGGCCTACATGCCAGCTCCCAGAGAGGAGGAGGAGGAGGAGGAGGAGGAGAAGGAGGAGGAGGAGGAGGAGGAGGAGGGGGCGGTCAACTAAAGGGCCGGCGACATTAAGAACATAATGGCCGAAGGAAAAAGCCTGCGCAGTACAACCGAAGAACCAGACGAGCACGCGCGGGGGCTCTTTTGTGCCGTGGCATCAACAAAGAGCGGAAGCAACGACTGCGGTGAGAACAGCGCGGGGGGGGGAGGCGGGAGAGAAGGAGGAGGAGGAGGAGGAGGAGGAGGAGGAGGACGAGGAGGACGAGAAGGAGGAGGACGAGGAGGAGGAGGAGGAACAAAAGCCAATGGGCCAGAGCCAATGGCTCAGAGTGCCGGCCCTCTCGTGCAAGAATCTTCGCCCTCTGCGGCTCGCGTCACGACGTCTGCATCCGCACACCGGGTCTCAGAGGAGCAACTGGACAGCTTCACCTAAGCTCCGCTGGGCCTCAGAGGAGCATCTCGGAGGCGCCGCGCGGAGGGATTCTCCTCGAAGTGGCTCTTGTTGGTGCTGTTCTTGCCGACCTGAGCGCAGGAGTTCTCGAAGTCCATGGCGCTCGCCGACACGATCGTCTGACTCGTGATCACGTTGATGATGCCCCCGGCGCGCGCGGCGCTGTAGCTCTTCGTCTCGCCGCAGTTCGCGGCCGAGAAGGGTAGGAAAGAGGCCACATCGTAGGCGAACGACGAGATCAGGTGGAACACGTTGACGGCACAGATCCGCTGCGCATGCTTCTTGTCTGCGACGGTGCTCTTGAAGATCGCACCGAGCTTGCGTGCGTCCTCCTCGCCCTCCGGCGTATTATTCTCCGCCCAGGCCAGGTACTCCTAGGCGGCCTTCAGGGACTTCGCCTTCAAGCTCGTCGCGACCTTGTTCACCGACCCCAGACTTCCGACTTCCTTACCGTCCAACTTCGTAGCCTTAAATCAGGCCTGTCCCTCTACACGGGGAAAATTCAAAAATAGTCAATTTACCCTGTGACGTACCCAACCCATTTGTATCATGGGAAAGGAGGAGTTGGCCGAAACTTGCATGGACAATCAAATTGCAGGATCCGTTGTTTGATATGTAAGCTACTTGGGACACGCGCCTATGGAATGATGCGCAGGATAACCATACAAGAAAGAGGGGCGACAGCTACAGGCTCGAAGAGGACATGGGGAGTAGGAAAGAAGAGCAGGAGAAAGACGTGCGGGAAGCCCACTGTGCTGGGCCCCTCAGCAGCCCTCGAAAGTGGCGACAGTTTCACAGATCGCAGCCCCAGGGATTGCGAGGTCTAATCTGAGTCTGCGGTAAGTACCCACTGTGCTGGGCCCCTCAGCAGCCCTCGAAAATAACGACAGTTTCGCAGATCGCAGCCCCCCAGGGATGGCGAGGTCTAATTTGAGTCTGCGGTGAGTACCCACTGTGCTGGGCCCCTCAGCAGCCCTCGAAAGTGGCGACAGTTTCACAGATCGCAGCCCCCCAGGGATGGCGAGGTCTAATTTGAGTCTGCGGTGTGTACCCACTGTGCTGGGCCCCTCAGCAGCCCTCGGAAGTGGCGACAGTTTCACAGATCGCAGCCCCCCAAGGATGGCGAGGTCTAATTGAGTCTGCGGTGAGTACCCACTGTGCTGGCTGGGCCCCCCAGCAGCCCTCGAAAGTGGCGACAGTTTCACAGATCGCAGCCCCCCAGGGATGGCGAGGTCAAAGGCAGGGGGGAAGAGAGGGACGGGAAGGAAGGAAGGTTCGCGCGAGCAGTGCTCTATTCAAAACGAGAACCCAACGCAGGAGGGTTGGGACAAATAGTCTGGGGACTATTTCTTTACTATTAGTCGACCATGTTGTTCTTTGTTAAAACTTTTTCGACGAAAATCCCCCTGTAGGGGGACACGCCCGACTTAGTCGTAGCCCGCTCCTTCTCAGTATGGAGTATGGAGGGCGTGCGGGCGGGCCCCCGTTTTTCCCCCGGGCCCTTCTCCATCTCTCGAGCGCCTGCCGAGGAGGAGGAGGAGGAGGAGGAGGAGGAGGAGGAGGAGGACGAGGAGGAGGAGGAGGAGGAGGAGGAGGAGAAGAAGGGAGAGGGTATGAGGAAGGGTAAAAAGAGGGAGGAGGAGGGAGGAGGGAGGAAGGGAAGGAGGTGGAGGAGGGGGAGGACGGAGGAGGGGAGGAGGAGGAGGGGTGGAGGAGGGGGAGGACGAGGAGGAGGAGGAGGAGGAGAAAGGAGGGGAGGAGGAGGAGGAGGAGAGAAGGAGGAGGAGGAGGAGGAGGCGGAGGAGGAGGAGGAGGGGGAGGGGGAGGGGGAGGGGGAGGAGGAGGAGGAGGAGGAGGGAGGAGGAGGAGGAGGAGGGGAGGAGGAGGAGGAGGAGAGGAGGGAGGAGGAGGAGGAGGAGGAGGAGGAGGGAGGAGGGATATGTGCACTCGACCCGCTCTGCCTCCTCGCACGTGTAGATCACCTCCTCGACGAGGGCGCCCGCGCGCGCCGAGAACGCCGCAGCCCTGCAGCACGTCGAACACGCACGTCCCGATGGCGACGTCCTTCTCCTCCTGCACCACGTCGTCCTCCTTCCTCCTCCTCCTCCCCCCCCGCTCCTCGGCTCCTCGCCCCCTTGCCCGTTCCTGCCCCCTGCCTGGCCCGCGCTCCTCCGTCGGCCCGTCCCCGGCGTCCGTGCAAGAGCCGCGGCGCCCCGCGCTGCAGCGCGGGCGAGTAGCCCGGCGTGGACGGCAGCTCGCGCCGTGCTGCCGACCTCTTCTCCTCCCGCGACTCGCCCTTGGCCCCGGCGCGCGCGAGGCGGCGCCCCTCGCGCCACCCGCCGAGGGCGCGAGGGCCGGCGAGGAGGCGCCGCCGCCGAGGCGCCCCCCGCCGGCGCCGAGGGCGCTCGCTCTCCTCGCCGTGCCTGCTGCAGTCCGCGCCCCCCCCCCGTGCAGTTGGCGGCCATTCGGGTCGGGCGAAAGGGGGGGGGGATAGCGAAGGGGGGGGTGAGAATCAGCTCGCGTAGCTGATTTTCCCGGCGCCTCCCGGCGCCAGAGGCGGCCATGTATCGAGGAGTAGGCCCCTCGGTGGGGCCGAAACCAGCTGCATGCAGCAGATTTCGTAACCCCCCCTTTCCCAGTCCCCCCCTCTCGTCCGGCCCGAGCCATGCCGGCGCCCGCCTCCGCCATGAGCGAGAGGCCGGTGATCGTGTCTCATGTCCGTGCCGTCCTGGGCGCAGCACGACTGGAAGTTGGTCGGCTCGGCGCACTGCGAGGCCGCGCCCGACGGGAGCACGGCGACGTGGCCGAGCGTGGCCTCTGCGCACGCGGCCTCCTTGCCCTTGGGTACCTTGCACTTGCCCGTCACGGGGTTCTTCTGCGGTCTGCAAGATCGCGTCGCCTCGGCGATGCCCACGCCGGCCTGCCCGAGGGAAACCGCCGCCTGGATGGCGTCGCTGACGCAGAACGCGGGCTGCAACTGCTTCTTGTCCTCCTTCTTCTCTGCCTTCATCTCTTTGTTTGAGCAAGGACCGACCGTCCTGGCACTCCTATAGTCCTATACCACGAAATTCTTAGAACCCCCAAATGTCAAAAACAATGAATTATCTTAGAACAGAAACCCGATGTGGTAAAACAAAACACTCCCAGCCAGACATGTTCTGAGAACATGCCGTGGAAACCACAAAACAAGTTCTTACAACACTGCTTGGTAGGACTATAGGCACGCCCAAGCGCTTCGCCACTGCTTGACTAATCCTCCGTCCTGTTCAACACGTCCTCCGGCTCCGATGCGAGGCTGGCTGCGTCGACGGTGCCAGGCTCCGCCGCTCTGGCGACACGTGCGCCGAGAGCCGGCGCCGGGGCGAGCGCCCTGACGGCCACGGCCTGGCCGCGACGGGTCGTCTGGAGATCCTCCGACAGGCGGAAGACGCGAGCACAACCTGCTTCCGCCAAAACGGCTGCTAGGCTGGCACGCTGACACTAGCAGCGACGATGGCTGACACGCTGACGGCTGACACGCTGACGGCATTCTGGACAGCGACGGGGTTGACACTTGCATGCTATCTGTCTGCTGTTGCGCAGAGCGGCACGGTGCTGTTCGCTTCATTCGTATGCATTGGGATGCCGTAAGATGCCACGATGCGCCATGAGATGCAATGCAGTGCTAGGCAATGCTACGTCATGACGTGTATAGCTAGGCTAAACTATAACATGCAATGCCATGCAATGCTATGAATTGCGGAACCATGCTGTGATATGTTCTGTCGTGCTGTGCCGTGAGACGTCATGCCATGCAGCGTTGCGATGCCACGATAGGCTAGGCGGTCCTCTGCTTTGCTCCGCTATGCGTCGAGGAACGATATTATGATTTTCTTTGCACTGCATTGCGTCTCATGGGAAGGCATACCTATGCCTGCAGCAACGTGCTACCAGTGCCTGGGTTCGCGCAGGGAGCAGCGAGTCATCCCCCCACCCCCGAGGATTACGGCCGTGAAGCCGCACCGTCAGAACATGCTGGCGGCAGCGCGCCACCACCATTCGGGGGCGCGCAAGCATGGATCGGCGATCCATGGACCTGGCGCGCGGTCGCCAGATCCATGGATCGGGGGAGGTGCCTCCCCCAAAATGCGGCCGGTGCCGCCTCGCTCGGCGGCGGAAATCCGCGATGCCCCACGGAAACTGGACCCGTCCCTAATCCACGCCCCCTTGGAGGAGAAGGAGGACGAGGAGGAGGAGGAGGAGGAAGAAGAGAGGAGGTGGAGGAGGGGGAGGAGGAGAAGGAGGAGGAGAAGGAGGGCGGAGGAGGGGAGGAGGAAGAGGAGGAGGAGGAGAGGAGGAGGGAGGAGGAGGAGGAGGAAGGAGGAGGGAAGAGGAGGGAGAGGAGGAGGATGAGGAGGAGGAGGAGGAGGAGGAGGAGGAGGAGGAGGAGAGGAGGAGGAGGAGGAGGGAGGAGGAGGAGGAGGAAGAGGAGGAGGAGGAGGAGGAGAGGAGGAGGAGGAGGGGGAGGAGGAGGAGGAGGAGGAGGAGGGAGGAGGAGGGAGGAGGAGGAGGAGGAGGAGGAGGAGGTGGATGGGGGGTGGAGGAGCAGCTCCTTGCGAGAGCCACAACTATCTAATGTCTAATGGCAAATTCGGCCCACCCCGCTACCGTGCCCGAGCTGTGGGTGCTGGGGCGCCTTGGGTGGATATCAGGATATACTGGGATGCCTCTCGGGGGCTTCTTGCAGGACTCTTGGGGGCATTGTTCGGCCCTCTTGGGGGCCTCTTGGGACCTGTTGGGGGCGCCTCGTGATACTATGAGGCTATGCGGGCCATCTTGGGGCGGAAAGCTGAAGGTGAAATGTCGGGTTTTCCTTGTGGGAATCCTCTTGTGTAGCGTTCATATAGTGTTTGATGTACGTGTTGCCAAAATTTCCGATGCGTCGTACATGTGATGTGCACACGGTTTGTCTACGGTGTGCGTGCGGCGTAATATATGTCGTCTATGTTTGTTGCTTGCGGTTCGTGGGCGTGTCGTTTGCGCGGTGTGCACGTGTTGTATACGTTATGCGGACGTTGCGTTTCTGTTGTATGTGAGTCGTGTACACGCTTTCGTTTCGTCTACGTTTTGTGTACGGTTCGTTTACGTTTCGTGCGCGGTCCACCTGTGCTTGTGCTTGTTATAACGAAGACAGTGTCGTACACGGTGTGTGTATATCTTGTGATTTTTCGTATGCGTTGTGGATACGTATTGGGTCCGCTTTGTACGCGTTTGAAATAAGTTGCGTGTGCGTGCCGTGATCGTGTTGTATGTTGTGCTTGATGCGTGGCTGGTGCGCCTCGCGTGCGTGTCGTAGCGGCGCGTCCCGTGCCGCCCCTCCTCTGTCCCTCTGCCCTCCAGTCGTCGCCTCCCTTTCCTGGCGTCTCCGTTCTGGGCGAGTGCCTCGCGTGAGCGCGGCCAGCGCTGCATGTGAACGAGCGCAGTGGGCGACGCGTTCCGCTTCGCGCCTGGCTTTCTGGCAATTGGCTCCCTCCTGTCCCGGCTGCACGACATTTCGCCACGCGCCAGACAAAGAGAGCGCGCCCAGGCGGCCCAGGAGAGCCCCAAGACGGACGGCCCAAGAGGAGGGGGAGGGGGAGGGGGAGGATGAGGAGGAGGCGGGGGAGGAGGAGGAGGAGGAGGAGGAGGAGGAGGAGGAGGAGGAGGAGCAGGAGGAGGAGGAGAAGGAGGAGGAGGAGGAGCTGGAGGAGGAGGAGGAGGAAGGGGGCCCCAAGACAACCCAGAAGAGGCCCCGCCCCGGAAGGGGAACACCGCCTGACATCTCGAGCCCTCTCTCTGGCCCCAGATGACCCCCGGGAACGCCAGCATGCTCCCAGGAGACCCCCAAAGCTTCAAGCAGGCCCCCAAGAGGCCCCACGAGAGCTCCAAGAGCCCCCCCCCAAGACAGACCCAATGAGTCATAATCGCAATATTTTTGCATAATTCGGGTGGGTTCCCTTGTCGGGCTTCCGACGCACCAAGACGCCCCAAGAAGCCCCCATTTATTCTCCAAGACGGCCCAAGAAGCCCCCAACAGGGCACCCCGGCGGCCCAAGAGGGTCCCAAGACGGCCCAAGAGGCTTCCAAAACAGTTGAAATGGGCCCCAAGACGACCCAAAAGAGGCCCCAGAAAGGGAACACGAACCGACATTTCGATCCTTCCGACCCAAGACCACCCCCGAGACCGCCAGCAGGCTCACGAGAGCCCCCCTGAACCTCTAGGATGCTCGCAGGAGGCCCCACGAAGGCTCCAAGAGCCTCCCAGGAGGGCTCCAGGTGCGGAGGAGGCCTGGTGGTTTGGCTTCAGTCGTTTTCAACGTTCCTCCTCCTCCTCCTCCTGCGCGAAACTTTCCTCCTCCTCCTCCTCCTCCTCCTCCTCCTCCTCCTCCTCCCCCTCCTCCCCCCTTCCAAGGGAAAGCCATAACGTTAGGAAAACCCTGGGACAAAAACAAACAAACAAGTCAACTGCTGGAGGCTGGAACTTTAGGAAACACCTGGGAAAAGAAGCAAAAAACAAAAGATCCTGGGGAATACCTGTCCGAAGGGACCACCTCCTCCTCCTCCTCCTTTTCTTCCTCCTCCTCCCCCTTCCAGCGGAAGGCTATAACTCTTAGGAAAACCCGGAGAACAACAGAACAGCAAAGAAACTGAAGTGCTATAGGCTGAAACTTTGCAAACACCATTGAACAAAAAACAAACAATTATTCACTGCGTGGGGATCCCCATATGTGCATCTCCTTGCTGGCGCTCCCTTGGTGGCGGGACTCGGTGAGGACGAATCTGGATTTAAGTGTGACTGAGCTGCCTCTCTCTCTGCTCTCTCTGCTCTCTCTGTCTCTCTCTCTCTCTCTGCCCTCTCTGTCTCTGCCTCTCTTTCCCTGCCTCTCTCTCTCTCTCTCTGCCTCTCTCTCTGCCTCTGTCTCTCTGCCTCTCTCTCTCTCTCTGCCTCTCTCTCTGTGCCTCT